CTACAAATTTGTAGTGTAGGACAAATTTGTAGTGGAGGACATTTATCCTGACACTTAATGTTGTTCATCTGATTTTATTAAAATTGTTGATGTTCGGAAGGGGGGCGGGGGTGGTTCTAGAGTTACATAACATTTAAAGGGGGGTTTGGAAAAGTGTTACAGAGTGTTACGAGGGGTGGTGGGTGTCAATATTTGCCAAAAAATGTGTTACATAATACATAAATGACCCCTAAGCGTTATCCAGATCCATAAGCCACTCACTGCAAACATCGTTAATTGATTACCAGCCAATACAACGAACCTGAACAAGCCATACAAAAGATTAAGAACATTAACAGTTATTCGCTAAGCAGAGTGAAATGTTTGATGATTTAAATTCACCTACGTTTAACGTCGGAGAATGCAGAAAACCGAGAAATAGATACATAATGGCTGTGCAATTTAGCCAGCACTGACTGTAGATTGTACGATTAGGCCTGCCAGGGAGGCCTACTCAAAGTTAGTAAATCGATAACAGCGAAAGAGACTTGCGATGCTGTCACGAGTTTCTTGCTATTAGATTAGTTCGATGCAGAAACGTAATTACTGACGGTAATTTAATAACTTTCAGAACCCGGAGTGAGACACCGAAGTTTAAAACGTACTAGTTAGTGATACTGCTACTCTTCTGTGGAAGTTTTTAGGTTTCTTATTATTATTAGGCTCCTCCTTAGCCCTTTTATCATTTTTCAAAAGCAAAGTACTTTTGTACGACAACAACGGCAAACTTCGGCAAGACTGGATTCGGCAAACTGGGTTTCATTTTCTTCTTCCTTGAAAACAGGTTCAAGGAACATTTATAATTCACATAGGCCTCTGACCCAAATAATATACAAAATATGATAATAACAAAATTAGATTGCATCTAAATATTCTCTTCTGCATTTAAATGAGTAAAATAAGCATTTTGATAACTTTTAAATGAGATCAATATTTTTAGTAGACATTAAATTAAGAAATTTGAATTCAGACGGAGTGTCTGTGTAACAGGTAAATAGAAATTTCGTTCTAATATAAGAATAAAAAGGGCAAACTAAGGTAAAATGAAATTCATCTTCGACTTTTTGTAACGAACATAATTTGCATAATCTTTCATTTCTATTAACATTATACCATCTTCCTTTTTCTAATTTTAATTCTAATATCCCCAATCTTAATTTCGTAAGGATTTGTTTATGTCTGTGATTGTCTACATTTTTTTAGATAATCCTCTGCTCTGAATTTATGTTTAATTTGTGAATACAATTTTAATTTAGAATGTTGTCTAATTTCTTCAAAAAACCTTTGATTCTCAATGTCTGTTAACCTTTGTTTTAGATTAAATACAAAATCATTAAAATCGTTGACTTTTTGTTCATGCCAAATATCTCCATGAATGGAACATAATAGATTTTTTACATCTCAGGCCCAACAAGGCTCTTTCTTTGTGTTTTTCTGTATTGAAAGACATAACATTGCCTAATAAATTTTTCACTGTCCATATAAATCAGTCTTAACCAATACCTAATAACATAAATTTTTCACTGTCCATATAAATCAGTCTTAACCAATACCTAATAACGTTAACAGAACATGCAACATGTATGGGGTATCTCACACGCATTCTCCCCTAACACCAATATTGGGTGCTGAGTTGCCAACTCATAATATGTATTTACAGAATTTCATTTGTATCTTATTATTAGATGAACTATCATCTAAACCCGACATTTCACTGCCATAGAGTAAAATCGGTAATATTTTAACATTAAAAATTTGATTCCATAAGTTAATCGGTAGATGACCAAAACGTCCCTGAATTACCCCCTTCAAAGCACATAAGGCTTTATTAGCTTGTAGGCAATTATTTTCTTTGGCTTTATTCCATTTACCATTTGAATTTAAAGTAACTTCTAAATACTTATATGATTTTGAAATTTTGATCGTAGTCCCATTGTAATTCTATTTTTCATATTTCTTAAGTTTATTCCTTTTTAAAAAAGCACCAATGTTACTTTTGTTAATTTACAGTTAAATCCCATGTCTCACAATATCTTGTTAATTTATTTAAATAATTTTGTAAACCACGTATAGTATCATAAATATTATAAGAACAAACTGCTCGGAGACCCATTTTTCGTCCGTTTTTATCAGTTCAGAAATTTCTTTCCTAGGCAGGTGATAGGCTAAACTGCAGAGCCATTGTGCATATATTTCTCGTTTTTTATCCACTTTTTCATATAGGACTACGATTTTATTTTATACGAATACAATTATAATAATAATAATACAAAGATCTGTTCTAAAAGAACCCTAATCCTGTGCATTACAAATGCCTGTGCTAAGCTTACATCGAGTGATGCACCTGGCACGTCATCACAAATTTAGTTTAGCTCGTCTATGTAACGAACCTGCACGAGATTCGTAATTTGAAAAATGTGATATTATGTAACTAAGTATGGTAAATCAGTTCTCAAATTATATAAACTTCTTGAATTAGCACCAGTTACTACTTTCTTCAGTCAGTGTACGTTTACGACCCATAATTTCAAAAGTAAGACAGTTTAACAAACAACTGACTCAAAACTACACTGTTCAGAAAACAAACGCACAAAAATCAGTATCTAAATTTTTATATTTCAGCACCCCATTTAATATACTCTCATAGGAGTCCGCACCCTTCTTCATAG